AATATTTGTCATCCTATCTCAAAATGATGTTAACACTCTGGGGTTACAAATTATAAGACTGCATTTGTTAAATTGCTCAAAATCATGTATAAGAGTAGAAAGAAAAGTAGGAAGAGAGAGGGGGATGTAGCTCAGTTAGTTGGTGGAGAGCTTGAATGAAGGCCTGGGTTTAACTCCCACACTGCATAAACTAACTGTGGTGGCACATGCCTGAAATTTCAGCACTTGGGTGGTAGAGGCAGGAGGACTAGGTGTTCAAGGTCATCCTCGACTACAAAATGGCTTTGGGGCCAGCCTAGTCTACACAAGACCCTGCCTCAAAGAAAAAGAGGAACAGAAGGAAGGAGGGGAGGGAAGGTAGTTGTTTTTTCCTTGTCCACTTTCTACTGAGCAAAACGGTAGCCCAAAACTTTATTCATGCATGTTAAAGTTATGTATCCCTCCCTACTTTTGAGACTGGTTCTCACTACGTTTCTCAGGCTGATCTCAAACCCTTGAGCTCAAGGATGTGCCTTCTACTCCTAACGTGTAGAATAACATGAATGTGCTACCACACATAGACTTAAAAGAACCTTATTAAGCTCATAAGGGCTTTAAAAAACATACCCTATTCTAATTCAAAACAGATGCCAGTTCCCTGGTGATATTTTTCTTACTACATTAAATTTTTTATTTTATTTATTTTTTTTGCTTGGTGGTGGCACACTCCTTTAATCCCAGCACTCAGGAGGAGGATCTTTGTGAGTTAAAGGCTTAAAGGCCAGCCTGGTCTACAGAGCAAGTTCCAGGACAGCCAAGACTACACAGAGGAGACCCTATCTCAAAAAAAAAAAAAAAAAAAAGGAATTTTTAAAAGAATATAAATGTACATAACATCCCACTTATCTGTTCGACATTCTTGTAAGTGTAATTTTAAGATATTTTTCAAGCCAGAGGATAAGGGAAATGAATGCAGAAATATGAGGTGAATCTGGTTCTTAGAATTTTGGCTCTTCTTATTTTAATTTGGGGGAGTGGGTGGTATTTTAATTTCTGGCTGACTTCTCCTAAAATGAAACTATATACTCTTAGTGTTCTTGATTTTTTTTTAGTTATGAAATATTTCTCAAATTAATTATCTGATACAATGTGCATGGTCTGTAATTTGTTATCTCTTAAAATTATTACTATTGTTTTTTTGAGACAGGGTCTCACTACGTAGCCTTGGCTGGACTGCAGCCTGCTATATAGACCAGGTTGGCCTCCAACTCACAGAGGCTGACCAGCCTTTGCCTCCTTAGTACTGGGACTAAAGATGTATGTCATCACATTGAGCTAAGATTACTTAAAAAAAAATCTTCAAAGAGTCACTTAGGCAAGAGTTTGAAGACAACCCAGGCTACCCAGTGACAAAAAAAAGTCATGAACAATGTAGAGGAAGAATGCTAGCAAAGTTTTATAAGTAATTTTTTAAACTTAAAAAAATATATAATCAGCCGGGTGTTGGTGGCGCACGCCTTTAATCCCAGCACTTGGGAGGCAGAGGCAGGCAGATCTCTGTGAGTTCCAGGCCAGCCTGGTATACAAAGTGAGTTCTAGGACAGCCTCCAAAGCCACAGAGAAACCCTGTCTCAAAAAACCAAAAAAAAAAAAAAAAAAAAAAAATATATATATATATATATATATATATATATATATATATATAAATAAATAAATCTGGGTGGTGGTAGCATATACCTTTAATCCCAGCACTCAGGAAGTAGAGGCAGGAGGATCTCTGTGAGTTTAAGGTCAACCTAGTCTATAGAGCTAGTTCCAGGACAGCCAGGACTACACAGAGAAACACTATCTCAAAAAACAACTATGGAGAAGAGGGTGTCAGATCCTCTGGAACCAGGGTTAAAGGCAATTATTAGCTGCCACATGGATGGGTGCTGGGAACTGAGCCTGATCCTCTTGATGAGTAGACAGGTAATGCCCTAACTACTGAATCATCTCTCCAGCCCCCTCTATATTTTATTTTTTTGAGTCAAAGACTCACTGAACTCTGAGTTTGCTATTTTGGCTAGATTGGCTGGCTAAAAAACCTCCAGGAACTACCTGTTTCCTTAAGATGCCTGCCATCATACCTGGCTTTTATTAGGTTTTGGAACTTAAACTAGGGTCTTCACACTAATGCAGCAAGCACTTTATCCTTGAAGCAACTTCTCCAGCCCCAGATCATTCTTAATAGGGTTAGAAAATTCAAACCAGCAGGGCATACTAGGACATGGCTGTAATCATGGCATTTGGGAAGTAGAGGCAGGAGAATCAGGAGTTTCAGGTCAGCCAGGGATACAATGAAACACTAACTCAAAGGGGGGGGGCACAACTTCAAAACAATGAATCTTTAAAAGAGATATACAATTATATTACTGGGAATAACTTATTTGATTTATAAAAATTAAAACTCATTAAATCTTAACCTTGAAAACTATCATGCATTCAGATGTACACTGAAATGTAAAACTAGTGTGTGACTACTGCAAGCTATTCCAAGGTTTAACGAAGTGTTTCTGTCTACTATTAAGAGCTTGAAAGTGCCAATGCATTCTGCCAGTCAAGATAACTTTAAAGGCTATTTAAACGGATCATAACATCAGAGTATTTCTGCTCAATGTCCTCTTCTCCATCTCAGAATCAGAATCGTCCCCTATTCAATTATGATAATAATCTGTTGTTTAAAACTGATTGCAAATATACAGAAGAATATATAACCCAATTCTTCTTTTCCTAGGATTTGAACACAATTATTATTTTGAGACAGGATCTTCCTATGTAGAGTTCAGGCTGCCCTCAGACTTGTGATCTTCTGATCTCTATGCTGGGATTAAGTCATGTGACCCCATGCCTGGTATAAATTAAACATTTTTAAGTAGGGTATCTTACAGACAATTCTATAATAACTAATTCATTTCAAAATATATCAGAATTGAAGAAACATAGCCACATATGAAACTATACTTTGCCTTTTAAAAATCTACAGAGCTACACTCTGTATATGCCATAATGTACTTAATCACATCCATATGGAATGAGCCAACTCTTCATTATAAAGAGGGCAGCAATCCTTGTACATGTCTTTGACACTCTAAGATAGCTCACAGATTTTAAAAAGACTAAGTTGTAGCTGGAGTTTCTTGTTCCACCAGGTTCAGCTGCCCTTCTCAGGCCCAAATAAGAACATGGACACTGTATTATTACTGGGCTAGCTGGAGCTAAATTTAAAAAAGAGACTGCTGAACCTTGCCAAGTCAGGGTAACACAGTCTTTCAATTGCCCTGCTTCTCAGATGACTGTCTGATACTTTAGGCCTTAGTCAAAGATGGTCGACCCGACATTGCTGTGAGACCTTGGGTGAGTGTCCAGATCGCCTACTGTTTTTCTTCGCTTTGCACCTTTGGAAGTTGCACACTCACACGTCCTGACTACCTTAGTAATGTTATTTTCCTTCTCAGATCTTTGGTGAGGTTGAAGATTAGACAGTCATAGCTATATCCTCTCTTATCTTCTTAGATACAAATTCTAGGTACAAGACTTAGACTTTCCAGATTAGGGCTGCTATCGGAGTAATCTTTGTCATGCCATTACCCTGAAACTGGACATATAGTATGTTGTCTATTGCTCAATGTTGCTCTTGCTGGTTGTAGGTTTTAATTTGTGTATGTTTTTACCTTTCCTTTCCCTGGAATATACTTGGCATTTGTTATCATTGTATATAGTTTTTGTGCCAGGCTTAAAACCTTCTTCAGACTAAAAGGGGATTTGTAGTAGCATCTCACCCTGCCAGTGAATGTGTTAGTGGCCACAACCCTTTGGGTGTGGCTTCAGGTGCAGACATGACTGGTAGGAAGAGAAGCGCCAGGTGGGCTATCTCTCTCTAGGGTCAGGAATCTAGTTGGAAGGGCAGAGACTGCATCTTCCAGAGCAGGAATGCAGTGGCGGTTCTATACTATTACCTGTTGTTCCTCAATAAAACACCCATCTATCATTTATCTTGGGTCGGGTCCAGTGAACTCATTAATACTCCGCCTTCACATCCCTCTCCTCTATTGCCAGCAAGCACACAGACTTCAGCTGCAGTGCTTCTCCCTCTGTAAGGGATATACTGTCTAAGTCCTCAGCAGGCTAAGTCCCCAAAGGATTAGAACTGCATCTTACTTCATTAACTATATATGCCAAGGAGTTTCAAGAATGCCTGGCTGGTAATGAATGCTTAGAATACTTAGAAGTGGAGACTAAGCCGGGCGTTGGTGGCGCACGCCTTTAATCCCAGCACTCGGGAGGCAGAGGAAGGCGGATCTCTGTGAGTTCGAGGCCGGGCTAGACTGATAGCCTCCAAAACAATACAGAGAAACCCTGTCTCGTAAAAACCAGAAAGAATACAATTGTCAGTTTTTTAAATTTTCTTCACTTTTCCTTCCTCTTATATTTACTAATTCCTTTTGTCTCCCTTTGATAACTATGTAAATATCAGCTATGCAGCTGGTACGTGTACAAGCCACATAGCCAGGTAACTGGGGGAAGGGGGGGAGACCAGTTTCACATACAAAAAATGATACCACACAGGGTACAAGTGAACACAGAGAGAAAGACTATGACATGGAGTTAAAGGAAGGTGATTAGACTTTTTCTGACTGTCCCTTGCTAGAATCTAAACACCAAGAAATACAGATAAGGGTATTTCAACACAGAGGTCAGCTTATGAATAAGTATCAGGCTTATACACCACCAATTGCTGGAGCAAAAGATTTAGTATTTTTTAAGATTTCCCCCCAAACTACTCTGAAATAACTTTTCAAGTTCTGACCAAACTACCACAAATGCCTAACCCCATTCTGACCCCAGTTCTTTCTAGTTTTCCTATTAAAAAACAAACAAAAACAAAACAAAAATTGCCTATAAAGAATTTAGCAGGCTTGCACTGAAAAATGCTAATAAAGGACCTTTAGAACCTCTAAACCTTAGAGATCATTCCTTACCCCTCTTCTGGGTCTTCATGGGTCCTGGACAGAAGCAATAGGATCTTGTGGGAGACCAGAAGTAGTATTCTCTACATGATGAGAGGAGTGAACATTTGTATCTTTGTAGAGATAGCAGTGCCAAAATTCAGATCTCCTAAGCAGCAGATATCCTGGCTTGAAAGAAGACAACTGAGAAGCACTGGTCTTTTGGAGAAGAGAGAAACCGAGAGTGTGAGTTCAGATATACCTGCAATTCTTATGTATGTAATGGATGAGGCCCTTCCAAAGATGCTAGAACACGGAATGTTATGACAAAGGGGTGACTTCAGCATAAACCTTATATGTTATTTCCTGCTGGAATTTCATGTCGTAAGCTGACAAAGCCACAAGAGACTGAAAAGTAATTTTGAATAACATATATATGCTGAGTTCTATGATGTATCTCCTAGTAACTCTCCCACCTCTGTGCTCTTAGGACCTCTTCCTACTTTAACACCAGTAACTATACTTTGAATGTAAATGAAAACACGTCAATATACTTCTAGCTTTTTATTTGACCCAAATAGTGTCAACAAGTCTCAAGTGCTCTTGTCCAGGCTGTGGGGTGAAAGTAAATTTAAGGGATACAAAGAGAACAGTGGGTAGCTCAGTTATAGTGTAGTAATTATAGCGATATGATTTCCTAGTTTTCACAATTTTGCAGTAAGAGGAAATGTATTATTTTTCTTTTCAGTAGCAAATGAAAGTAGAGAGAATAACTTGGGGCAGTAAGGCATCCTGAGAACCAAGATGTGTAAACAACCGGAATGTCCATCAACAGATAAATGACAAAGAAAATGTAGTAAATATGTAAAGACGAATACTCTTTGACCTTAAAGAAGGAACCATTTGGCAACATGGATGAATCTTGAAGGTATTATGCTAATAGTCATATAGAGAGAAATATTGCATAAACTCACTTACATGAGATAGGGATCTAGGCTTGGTCTAGGTTTACTAGCTAAATTCACAGAATCACAATGGAACAGTGGCTATCAGTTATGGGACTGGAAGGAATGAGATTTATAACCATCAAGAATAAAGTTTTGCCTCCAAAGCCACAGAGAAACCCTGTCTCGAAAAAAAACAAAAAACAAAAAAAAAAAGAATAAAGTTTTAGATAACCAAGAAAACTAAGCTCAGATAACCTAAGTCAAAGCATCATGTACTTAAAAAACTTAAGATGACAGATCTCATATTGTTACTAAATTAAAATGTAATTTAAAAAAACAAATATGGTGGGGCTGGAGGGATAGCTCAGTGGCTAAAAATGTGCACTACTCTTGTCAAGGACTGGAGTTTGGTTACAGAACCCATGCATGTCAGGTGGCTCACAACCACCTGTACCAGCTCCACGAGAGCTGATGTCTCTGGCCTCCAAAGGCACCTACTTGCATGTGCACATACCCATACACAGATATAATTAAAAACAAATCTTTAAAATAGAAATGTGAGTGATAATATATAAGCACCAGTAAGGAGGTGAGGCGGAAGAAGAAATGACGATGCCACTGTCCTTTGAGGTAAAGCTGGTGAGACAAAAATGTAATACAGAAGAAAACCAGAGGAATGTAGTGTCATAGAATTTAAGGGAGGAAAACTGCACTGAAGTGAAAACCTGGAAGGCTTTTATTCTGATTCTATGTTTCAAGAGCAAGAAGGCACAGGGAAGCAATGCAGTCTCGGAGGGAATGTGTGAGAGGGAGGAGCAGCTATTAAAGATGGTGCCTCTGGATACTTAGTACTATCTGGGGGAAAAGGCACTATGCCATCCACTGGGGAGAGACACTAAGTATTTTAAAGTAAAAGTCCCTACAACAAAGAATTGTCTGGTCAAAAATGAAGAGGCTGGTAAGATGGCTCAGTGGGTAAAAATGCTTGCTGCCAAGGCTGATAACCCAAGTTCTATCCCCAAGACTCACATGGTAGAAGGCAAAAACCAACTCTGAAAGCTGCCTTCCAATCTCCACAGGTACACCATGGCATGTGTGTACCTATGCCCCCAAAACAAAGTGATAAAAGGTGACTAAAAGTATGTCAAAGGGGGCAAGATTCAGAAACCTACAGACCAGTGTAAGGGATTCAGAAGAGAAAACAAAATAGCAGAGTACTTGATAAAGTGAAGCCACACTGGGGGAGGAAGACTTTTCTAGGCCTCTATGGTGACATGATGGAGAATTACGACAAGACATTGAAAGTAATTTTAAGGCTGTATTTGGAAAGTTAACTGAGGTATGGCATCTCAACTTCTCCAAGAAATACAAGAGCTTGTGTGCTTGTTTGATACAGATAAAGGGCTTAACCTATGGAATACTGTCAAGGTTTAAAATATTTGGGATAGAGATGAAGTTCAGTGATACTGTTTCCCTAGTGTCATACAAGGCTTCTGTTTGATCCCCAGCACCACACGCACGCACGCACGCACACACACACACACACACACACACACACACACACACACACACACACACTGTCCCTCGCCTAAAGGGGGCAGTCCCAGTAGCCTGGACTGACCAGCTCAGCTACCATCCAGGCCCATATCCTGGGCCTTGGATTGGCCCACCCTAACATCTATGACCTGCTGGAGTGCATGAAGGGGCTGGTCCTGCTGAATGATACCCACAGGCTGTGACTTAAAAATAACACACACAACACACCTTACATTTCCTTTAAACTTGCTTACACAACACTAATATAGTCAGCATGTTATTTTATCATATCAGGTCACTTGCTGGATATCTATTATGAACAGACAATACACTGCATTCTTTATACCTTAATTTAAAGTCAGACATACCAAGTGAGTGGTTACAATATGCTATGATATGGATGGGAGAAAGGTCTAAAGTGCCAACAGAGTTGGTAACTACTGGTAGAGGTAACATAACTAGATCTTGAGAATAAGAGCACTATATCAACCAGAACACTTTGTAATTCCAAACAGTTGGTTTAAACAAGGAATTTGTGGCTGAAGAGATGGCTCAATGGTTAAGAGCACTTACATGCTGCTTTTCCAGGAAGAACCCACAGTACCCACATGGTGGCTAACCAACTCCAGTCCCAGAGGATTCAACAACAGGTAGTCAAAACACCCAGATAAACATGTACATACACAAGTAATTTATTTGTCATGAGAAATGCTAAAGTAGGTAAGGCCCAGTATATGATATGACTAAATGATGCCGCCAAGGACTCAAGATTCCTTCTACCTCTGATCTGGTATCTTTAGGGGATATTTTATCCCCTGTGGTTACAGGGGCCTCATGTTCTCTTGGTCTAGAACAGGAAGGGAAAGAACCATTTTTCCCAGAAATAGTCTGTCTCCTTCAGTTCAACCTGACCGGGATGGGTAACTGTTCATAAGGGGATGCAATGAGCTGACTGGCTTAGACTAATCAAAGCCTAACCCTGGAGTTGGTGATGAGTCATCTCTAAGTGTACTATATTTATGAATAAAAGCATAGTTGTCAGGAAAGGACATAGATGATGGGCAGCTAACAGAGTTGATAACCAAGAATAAGGAAACTCCAAGTATTTGTATAAACACATGAAAACCACAGACAGAAGCACAGAGGAAATAAGAAACAGCTTGGTTCAGCTGGAGTAATGGGAAATATAAGATCAGACACATCCTGCACTCTTTTTTTGAGTTTTGACCTTAATCCCACAAGACAAGATGAAGTTAACAGATTTCTTTTTTAAGTAGAAAGATACAATTAGGTTTTCCAGGAGTATGTCTGTGGCAGTATCGTCAAGAATAGCCAATGGCTGGAGAGATGGCTCAGTGATTAAATGCCTGTAGGTGGCTCTCAACCACCTGTAACTCCAGCAGGATCTGATACCATTAGTGTCAGTACCTGTACTCGTGTGCATGAATCTCCACAGACACACATACATATAATTAAAAATGTATTTTTAAAAATAGCCAGAGATAGGAAAGAGTAGGAAAAAAAGAGAAAGTGACACAGCCTTGGCTAGAATCTATTCAACAACAGTTCAGACTGGTCAGGGGAAGAATGAAAAAACAACAGGACAGGATTTAAAACCACACAAGTGGAAAACCTAGGCCAGACAACTGTCTAATTTTCTTTTGTTTGTTTGCTATGTTTTTTTTTTTCAGTCAGGATCTTGATATATATATATTGTTGGCAAGGAACTTACTATGTAGATCAGGGCTAGCTTGGAAGTTTTATAGGTATCTGCCTACCTCTGCCTCCTGAGTGCTGGGACTACAGGTGTATGCCACCATATCTAGCTCTACTTTTTAAAATTACATGTGTATGTGTACTCCTGCACTTTAGTACATACTGGGATCAAAGAACAGCTTGTGGGAATCAGTTCTCTTCTTCCACCTGAGGATCCATCCCAGGGATCCTCATCAAACTCAAGACATCAGGCTTAGCAGCAAGTTTTTTACCTGATAAGCTATCTTGCTGGCACCTATTTCTTTTACAACAAGAGAGAAAATTAACATTCAAACAGATTAGGCAACTTACTTGAGATCATAAAGTGATAAAAGTCTGCTATAGTGGTGTGCATTTATAGTCTCAGCTATTGGGGAGGCTGAAACAGGAAGATCACTTGTGCCATGAGCTCAAGAGCAGCCTGGGTACCAGTGTAATGCCATCAAAAGCAAATCAAAATCATAAAGACTATCAACAGCTGTCAACTGTAAACAGGTTTGGTGCCCGAAGTGTTTTATTATAGTACAAACACACATGAAAATGGTTTTTAAAGTTTCACAAATAAGCTTGACAGTGGTTTGCATCATAATCCTAGCATTTGGGAGGCTGAGGCAGGGGTTAGTTAGAGGCCTTTACTAGTTAGAGGCCAGCTGGGCTACACAATGAGTTCCAGGACAGCATGGGGTACACAGCAAGACCCTGGTTCAAAACAAAAATAGCCATGCAAATAAACCCAATATTGCCATATCATTCTGTCAAAGACACATTTACAAGGATAGAAACTCTTGCAGAACCCACATTAAAAAAAAAGATACCAGCTAAAATAATCTAGAATAGAAGACTATCTCACATAATAAATGCTGCACACAAGAAACTTATGGTAACATTATTCTCAGTGGGCTCTGTGTGTGTGTGTGTGTGTGTGTGTGTGTGTGTGTGTGAGAGAGAGAGAGAGAGAGAGAGAGAGAGAGAGAGAGAGAGAGAGAGAGAGAGAGACTGAAAACGTTCCAACAATCTAAGTAGTAGGTCCATTTCTACCACTTCTAGTCAACACAAGTACTAAGAAATCTAGCTGAGCACTAAGACAAAGAATAAATAAAAAGCATTCAAACTGGAAAAAAAATGTTAAAAGCATGAGTTTATTTGTAATTCCAGCACTTGCCAGGCTAGAGACAAGTGATCAGGAGTTCAGGGCCAGTCTGGGCTACATGAGACCCTAATAGAAAGAAGGGGAAGGGGGTGTTGAGACCCGAATAGAAAGAAGGGGGAGGGGGGAGGGAGAGAGGAAGAAGGGAAGGAAGAACAATGCTGAAAGCAAATGAAAGATTTAACCTTGTTAAAATGTTAAGACTAAGCTGGGGGTGGTGGCACATGCCTTTAATCCCAGCACTCAGGAGGTAGAGGCAGGAGAATCTGAGTTTGAAGCCAGCCTGGTCTATAGAGTGAATTCCAGGATAGCTAGAACTACAGAGAAACTGTCTAGTCTAGAACCGCGCCCCCACAAAAAGTTAAGACTGATGACCTAAGTTTGACAGCCAGAACCCACATAGTGGGAAGGAAAGACCCAATTTCCACAAGTTGCCCTCTGACTTCCACAGGTGCACAAGGGCACCAACACACACGTGCACTCACAGTCTTATACACACAATCACACACA